GTGTGAACCAACATCCTGGTCATAGACCCAGAGATGTTAAAGTCCTGAGTGTATTAAGTTTCCCAGAGTCCAATTGACACAAATTGCACAAGCTTGTTGTTAAACTCCCACAGGCGCCAGCATTGGCTGTTTGCAAGGATGATTTCAAATACCAAAGCTGATGTACTGGAAATCAGGCCACTGAACTTGAAGATGTACTCCTTCATGTTGGTAAATCTGAAGAAGGCATCAAAGAAGAATAGAGTCAGTGAGAATACAAGGGAAAGCAGGAAAACAGAAGGAGTCATGGCTTAAAGAGCACTGAGCTCTCATACCTTGTCCCTGTTGTCAAATAAAGATGTTTCAGTGGTCTATGTACAGATTATTATTCTTCAAAGAGTAGATAATAATATTTGTTGACTAGGAATTTGAATGCTTAGAACTGACAATGACAAGAGAGTTTGCAATATCATATGTAATATAATGCTTATTTTACCTGTATTTGCAATTTCTAAATATTTTAGTACCATAAAGTGAGGAAAAAGCAGAGGAATGCTCAATCTAATTGTCATTTCTAAAATAAAGTACTATATACTATTACATGACTCTGACAAACTAAAGTCATTAATGACAGAACCAAAGACAGAGAAAAAAAATCACATAGTAAACCTAATTATGTAAAAATAATAACACACCTGACATAAATTTGTGTATACATATATGTATATACAAATTGATCTGTACATGATACACCTCATAAATGATAGTGTACAATGCTATTCCATCTTGTGAATTTTACAGAAATGTACTCTGCTCTAAAGAAAGCTATATGTACTTTATTGAAACCAGAAAGATTATGCCCATCAACATCTATCTGTAATATTGCCGGGCATAGAGCTCAGTGGTAAAGTGATTTTCTAACACACACAAAACCCTCAATTCTGCTTTAGTATCTGTAAACCAAAATCTATGTGTAAAATTGTCCAGAGACTGAGTCAGAGGAATAGGGAAATGGATAATTAACACATAAAATCATATAAATCCATAAATTGGATATTTCCAATTATAACATATCTCTTACTTGAAATTTTATCTTTAGATAATTATTTTCGTTTCAGTGAAACAAAAAGAATCCTGACATATTTTTGTGAGCATATATCTTCTTTCACAGACAATTTACACTCTATATTGTAACTTTGAACTAACTTCATTGCATCTTTTCTCAATTCCAATCTTAGGATGAAGGAAGGAGGTGATTCATTTACTCAATAGGCAGGTGGATATCATCACTGTCAACTGTGCATGCAGAAGTTTGAAGGGGCCTACACACTGGATCTCCTTGCCAGGAAACCTTCCCTAAACAGCTACCCCCTGCTCTAAAGTCTCTGTAGAATGTGTTTCCTGACTGAGTGAAGGCACTTGCTGTTCTACTAGGGAAATTTCATCAGCAAGATGAGTGAGTTCACAATTCATGGTGGCTTGGGTAACACGCTGCCCACATCATCATCCTTTCCAAGGCAGGCCTGATTCAATGGACTACAAGAACGGTGGTTTTTTGATTAGTACTGAAAACACAATGAACATTGTTGTGATTCGAGAAAAAAAATGAGCTAGCATGGCAGTATCTGTTTCTTCTGGTGTTTGAAACACGTGGAGTAGATGCATGTGATTCATAAAGACCATATTTGAAAGATCCCATATATAACATAAAGATTTTATACCTTTGTGTATTATGGATAAGAAGATTCATTTAGAAGGTGGCAGGATCACAGTCGTTCTTCCCAGTAACAGTAAATGCCCATATATGCAGTCAGAGAAAGAGTGGAAAAACCTTCAAAAAAAGAAATTCTATTAGGCAGAATTTCAGCTCAGAGCAATGTCTCTCCAACCCCTTGATTCCACAATCCTTACCATTCATTCCTGTCCTTGGCTTAAGAAGAAC